ATATAATATTTAATAATATATATAATATTTAATAAATTTAATAATATTATATACAATATTTAATAGTTGGACATATCATGGCCATGATATCACACAGACACTAAATTTGTAAAAAAAAATAATTTGGCATGTATTTTATAAAACATTTTACATAAAAATCTTATATTTAATTCAAATTTTAATCTGTATATTTAAAGGGTAATTAAAAGTTCTTTGCCTAAATACTTGTATAGATACAGTAATACAAATCTATTGTCTGTATCTATCCCTATCAACTCTTGTAATAACTTAAATTACTGTATGACAATATATAACTATGAATAATAATTGAATTGGTAAATTTGTAGTTATAAATATTTTTTTATTCCTAAAATTTTAAAAAGAAATAAGTATAAATAAATTAAAATAATAATATTCCATTATGTTAATTTTAAGTGAGCATGAAGATAACAAAATGTTCTGTGATTACTACCACTTTTGGATTAACATGTTTATTTTTAGAGGGTAATGTAACTAGTAAATAAAAACATCATCCCTATACAGAAGTACTAATTGTTTACAAGCACACTTTAACATAGGTAAACATAAAACTCAAATAGAATTCTTTGAAATATTTACAACTTATAGTGACAATTATTGAATTTTAAAGGGCATACATAATCACTGAAATTATTTAAATGGGTTGGTGTACAGGAATTTACAATTAAAAATTAATAGTTCACTTACAAATTTGTTGACTTTAACCTCAAGCTGTTTAGTTGTTCGATCTGTGAGATTTTCACACAGTTGTAAAACTTTTGCAGGATCCAATACATCCAACTTCGACAGTTGGACATCTTCCTCGAATACATCATCAAATTTGGCTGGTGTCTTACAATAAGGAGGTGGTAAAAATAGTTTATTTTCATTCGATTCTGAAGACATGTTCTAACTATAATTCTGTAATCACAGAAAATTTAGATACCTAATCCAATTAATTTACTGTTCACATTAGATAAGATTAGATAAATTAAAATGATATTTCATTATTAATAATGCCATGGTGATGTCACATATCATTTACCAAATGGTTAAGTTTACTTAATTTGGAGGGCTTTATTGTGCCATTAAATTAATTAAATCCATATACATTAATAACTACCATTTCATTAGACTCTTGAAATATAAGGGGCGATATTTAAATATCAGTAACACCACTGATATGAAAACTAACTTTTCCATTTTTTATTTCATTCATTTTTATATTGGTGTACTTTTAGAATTTAATAAATGCATAAATTGCTTGAACAATTAAACACAATTTAATCCAATGCAATTCGGCTGCTTCGTTTATATTTATCAGCCTTTCTGTACCCTATTGAACAAACGTCAATTTTGTTTGGGTTTGGGACCTCTGGTTTCTGGTAAAAAAAATGACAAGCAATGACAAAATGACAATTGACACCAAAACAATCATTCTTCATTGGCGGATTACGAAAAATTAAATCGTCATGATCAAGATTTTCGAGCATATACTACTACATAAGGCTTTTTTTCGCGAGTGAAGTCGTATGTTGTAGTATGAGTGAATATTACGTTTTTGCGAGAATAGTCAGTCATTTAAACTACTATGTGACGTCACAAGTTTAGATCAAATGACTGAACTCTTCACCCTTCAGTTGAATATTCTGTTGGTATATTCAACTAGTATTGTCAGCCGGTAACTTAACCTTTTTCTTTTTGACATTTTGTTTAAATGAGGATAAAAATCGTTCAGCAAAATGATGGATTCTGATACAGCTGTGGAAGTGGTCAGTTTAAATTTAATCTTTTGAGGCACAGATGTTTTAGTAAACGTAGACGTTGAAACAGCAAATATTTTACTTAATGGTAAGATTAATTTTCTGTATGGGATATATTTGCGATCCACTTTGCTTCAGGATTATCCTCTTTTTTTTATGACCTAGGCCAGAGATAATATTGGTAGAATCATTTGTAATTCAGGTCTTTTTCGTATGAATTACATAAAAAACCAACCTAACCTCTTTCTAGTTTAATTTTTTTCTGGAATAGAGAATATATGATATGATTCTCTAAACTTATAACATAAATAAGGAACATCATCATCCTCATTCCACAAAAATATCAAAAAATATAGAGCCATGTCACAATTTCTGTTTTGTAGCCATTGACATAAATGACCAAATTCCATTCTCTTACGATAACGATTATGTCGAATATTCGCATATCTTGCAACATCAGAATCTACATACTTTTCACGCTTTTTAAATTTGCCACTTAAAAATATTCCAAAGAAAGCATTGATATATTCCTTCAGTTTTATTTGAAGCAAATACATATATTATATAGTGAGATAACACCAATTCCCACTACACTAGACTACTGGAAGCAATAAAGGATGACAAATTATGGTTACTGGTTAGAAGTTAGAACCCATATGTCAAAGTCGTTAAAGTACATATTATATGACAGGCTGCACCACTGAATAGTGAATATATACATTTTCGCGATCTGTTCAGGTTAGACAAGATTAGAAATAAGATTAAAAAAGATAGAAACAGTAACTACAAGTCAGACGTATTCACCAATATTCACTCGCGAAAAAAAGCCTATAGTATATGCTCTAAGATTAAGATATAGCGCTCTCCCTCTCTCTCTCTTTCTCTAAAAACCACATACTTATTTGTAGAAGTATGTGTCTAAAACCATAAAAATTACAAGGATAAAAAAGTAATTTGATCGTCCGCAATTTACAAAAGTCAATGATCAATCACTATTAATCATTTGTTGCGTTCATCACGTTGATCGCTACCTCAGTTCCGAGCGGGCAGCCGAGCAGAGCACACGTGTTTTGTGAAAGTGTAGTGCAAGGAGCAAATTCTACCTGCCTTTATTAAGGTTACCTGGAAAGAATCCCTTTCTTTCCTCCTAACCACCGACCTAATCCCTGGCTTAAGCATAGAAGCCGTCGGCATCTTTGTTACAGGTACCTGTGCCGGGGTTATGCCTAGGTAAGTCCCACTTTTACTTATTTATCAGTTATTTGCATTACTTTAAAATACATCTCTTTAAAATTGCGACCCCCGACAAACAATATACCAGACAGACAAATACACCAAAAGACACGTACGACTTAAACGTACACACGCCCACACACGCACACACACACGCACCCACGCACACACGCACGCACGCACAGACACACACGCACGCACACACGCACAAAATGTCGGACTCCGAAAACGAGAACATATACATGGACGATACAGACAGCGAAAGACCCTCTTCAAGGGTCTCCGCTTCACCAAAAAACATGACCACTAAAACAGATTTATACGAACAGTTACAAACACAAAAACATGAAAACGAGACGCTAAAACAACAAATACACGAACTACAGAACAAAACACCCGACAATACCAACAAATACTAACCATGACACAGCAAATCGTCGATTTGCAAAAAATAATTAAGCTTTCGGACGAAAACACTAAATTACACCAAAAACTCGACAAACTCATCAGCAAACAAATGACAGACAATATACCCCAGACAGGCACACACACACACACACACACACACACCCCCCCACACACACACACCCCGCACACACACGCACAGAGAAACGCAAAAAACACGGCGGAATACTTTAGCGAGGACGAAGCCCCAGGACAAAACATCAGACAAAACAAACAAAACACGACCACAAACACCAAACACGCGCCCCCGACACCTAAACCCTCCACAAGTGCCCTACAAAAAACCTCACAAAACACACAAAAACAGACAGACAAAACCAAAAAGTTCCCCCGGTAATCTTGCCAAAACAAGAACGGTGGACGCAAGTACAAAAAATACTCACAACACTTAACATTAACTACATAAAAGCCAAACACACTAAAGACGGTATAGCCATATATCCAAACACACCAAATGACCACAGACTATTGACAAAGACACTGACAGACAAAGGCGAGGAGTACTACACTTTCACCCTCAGCGAAGAAAAAACGCTGAGGGTGGTGATACGCGGAATACCTGCGGGTGTTTCGCCAAGTGAGGTCCAACTCGACCTCGCACGACAAGGGTTCCCCGGCGCAATAGTGCACCGCATGGCGAGCCGTCAAAATAAACACGAAATGCCCCTGGTCCTAGTTCAGGTCCCACGGGACCAGGAGGACATCCTGAAGGTAACCCGCTGCTGCTCGCTCGTGGTTCGAGAAGAGCTGCAGCGAAAGCAGCGGGTTGCCACACAGTGCCACCGGTGCCAGCGGTTCGGCCACGGCCAGACCTGAGCCAAAGTGCGTAAAATGTGGCGAAAACCACAGCACGCACGTATGCAAAAAGGCCAAAGACACGCCCGCCAGGTGTGCAAATTGCGCCGGGCCACACCCCGCCAGCTATATGGGGTGCCCTCAGTACCCCAAAGCTAAAAACACAAAAACACAAAACACAGACACACACACGACACAAAACACTACACAAACACACAGACAGCCCCTCCTACCCACCCCAAACACAACCCCAGGACGCACATACGCTGACATGACCAGAAAAACACAAAACACACAAAAACAAAAACACAACACCTCACCACACGCACACACAGACACGACACCCTCCCAACCGGGCGCGGCGGCCCTGATTGACGCAACAAAGCGTCTTCAGGACTTCTGCGTCCAGCTGACGACCATGGTGTCGAATATGCAAAAATTATTCGACTTCTAATGGCTCGTCGGCCCTCCCAACCCTCCTCGCTGAGAATTTCGTCCTGGAACCTTGACGGGTTCCGGGCCAAAAAAACGGAACTCGTGGACATCTTGAACCGTCTAAACATAGACGTTATGGCTGTCCAGGAGACCTACCTCAGCGAGGCATCCCGTACCTCCATCCCTGACTATGACATATACAGACATGACAGAAACCGTAACGGGGGTGGTGTTGCACTCATAGTAAAGAAGTGCATCGACCACTATCCGCTGCAGCGGCTCCAAACTCAAAACACAGAGGCCGTGGCGATAGCGGTGAGATCGCTACGGCATGGAGACGTTGCGGTGGTGTCCTGTTACCACCCACCCAGACTACCACTACTTGACAATGACTTAGACAAAATCCTTTCCTGGCCCCAGACAATTGCCATCGGGGACTTCAACGCGAAGTCCCCCATATGGCACAGCGGGACGACGACCACAAGAGGTCGCGTCCTGCTGAATTACCAAGACAGACACGACGACTTGACGATACTCGGACCGACAGAACCGACACATTACGGACCCGTAGGACGCCCCGACGTTATCGACATTGCCCTCTTAAAATCTATACCGTTAAATGCCCAAATATCCACCCAATACGAAGGGTCTTCCGCCCACAATCCAATATTTCTGGATCTGGGGCGAAGACAGAGATATGAAGGCACCTTCACGAGGAGGTTCACTGACTGGGAGCGCTTCCGAGCAGTAATGCAAGGAAACATCGCGCTCCCAGTCATCGAAACCACCCATGATCTGGAGGCGGCAATCCTCTCCCTTGAGACTGACATTAAAAACGCCCTGACTCAGACTACGACGGAGACCACTGTCCCCCGACTGACAAACCCCCGGGGCACCCTCCCCGATGACATAAAAAACTTAATACGTGACAGACGACGTGCGAAACGGCTTGCCACCCGCACCCGCCTCCCCCGACACAGACATGACTTAAACGTACTTAACAGACGGGTGAAGGCGGCTCTGGATGAACTGGCCCAGGACAACTGGGCTAGGCACCTGGAGTCGCTGGATCCACAAGACAACAGCCTCTGGAAAACGCAGAAGGCCCTGCGACAGACCGCTCGCCGTAAAATTCCTCCAATCCACGGTAGTGTGGGGGTGGTTTCAACGAACCAGGAAAAGGCCGAGGCTTTCGCCGACAGCCTGGAACGGCAGTGTAGACTGCCTCATCTGCCGAACGAAGACGAGGAGTTCGAGATAGTGGCTGAGCGCGCGGCCCGACGCGTCGACAGAGAGCCAGACAATGACATAATACCCCCCGCAACACCTGACGAACTAAGACTGACAATACGCAGACTTAAAAACAGAAAAGCCCCCGGACCCGACAATATACATAACACGACACTTAAACGACTACCACACAAGGGCCTCATGGCCCTACTAAACATAACAAACGCGACACTCAGAGTAAGACATTTCCCTACCCGCTGGAAAACAGAAAACATAATCCTTATCCCAAAACCCAACAAAGATCACATCATCCCATCCAACTACCGGCCCATTAGCCTGCTCCCGGCTATGAGCAAAGTGGTAGAAAAAATTATCCTAACCCGTTGAATAACCCACTCCCAAGAACTGCAA